AGAGAGAGATTAAGAGTATTGAAAATAATAATATCATATACATGGCATTCGATTTCAAGCAGCCAAAAAAACTTCCAAATTAGCTATTCAACGTTCACGCTAACAGTAAGTTAGGTATATAAATTTTGGCATAGCTCCAAGTATCTAGCAAATAACAATTGCTGTTCCATTATCCATGCTATTCTCTTTCTTAAACTAAAAAACTACCTTATATCACCACTAACATATTCACCAAAAATATGTTTCAAATAGAGTTAGCAAGAAATTAATTTAAATTTTCTAAAATACTTATATGAACAGTAGTATTTAAGGCTTTATTCTTAAGTATTCATTAGCATATCAAATCCTATAACTATAATTCAATGAAATTCCTTAATTAATTAAATCTTTTAATACAAAATTTGAGAATTGACGTCTTAGAACGTACCAGTTGAGAATCAGGCAAACGAATTCCATCGATCGACTGCGAAGAGAAGCAAGGATTTCTGTCTTTGGGGCTCGCGGAGTGTCCGCCGGACGTGCCGCCGGCCGCTGCCGCGGCCACCGTACACGGTGGTCGAAAAATGAACTTGCCCGAAACTAGAGCATTCTTTTACCACCCTTAGACCGTTTTTTTCTGCCAGAAGTCCCCGATTCCGGCGTCGGTTTAGCGAGATCAGCTCCTCTCGTTGGTTTGAAACCGGCTCGCCGGGCATAGAGGCCGCACCACGTTGCTGCCCAATCCATGGGAAGAGAGTCCGCACTTCGCATCTGAATCGCAAAGCGGGGACGGACGACAGCTGACGATCAGCGTGGTCTTGTTGGCGGACCTCGATGGCATTGAGTGCTTATGGCGCTGCTGTCGCGATGAGACCAAGAGGGAGGAGGGGCTGTTGCGATCGCAGCTTGCAGCGACAGCCTTTTGCATTAGAGTTGAACGGAGGAGGCGCTGTGACAAGACCGGATTTGCAGGCGGCGAGGAAGACATCGGTGAGAAGCTCAAGTGGCTGGCCTCCGGAAGGGAAAGGGGAGGAGTCGCGTGCGCTGAAGAAGAAGAAAGGAGGAAAGAAAAGAAGGAAAAGAAAATCTAGGGACATTCTGGTTTGGAATCTTCAAATCGGTTCGGTCCGATGTTACGTGATTTGGTCTCATTTGGTATTGGTTTGGCAGGTTTTCAAGCTATTTTTGTGTTTTTCCAAAAGATTCAATCTGGTTTTAAATAAAGCCCGATTCAATTTTATTTTAATTATTTAGTTCGGTTCCATAGTATTTTCTTAGTAGCCGGATTTTCATATTATTTCTCGAATATTTTTATCAATGTTCTTAAATCACCAGTTTCGATAATACATTTTGTGCCTTGGCCCAATCGAAAATTTGGGCTCGAATTGGGACTGTGTTACAATTGCAGCCGCACGTCGGCCAAAATTTGCCATTTTTGATTTAATAAAAATTCAACAGTTTCGAAAAATAAAAATTCAGGGTGTTTTCATTATATTACATGGACCGGATGTTATATTTACTTATTCACTGAGCCAAAGCACTCACCCACACTTCACGTTAATTTTTTGCGAAATCGAAATCACTACTTTTTAATTGTGGCAAAAACCTTTATTTTCTTTCCTCTGCTAGGGCTAGTTAATATGAGCTCCAAGTGGATTATAGGCTCTTCTTAAATTCTTTACGTTGCCACATGTGATAATTGTTAAAGAATGTATTGAATTTTAAAAATAGTAAATTGAATTTTAACATGCATGATATATTTGTAAGTAATGACTGGCAAGTCATGTAACTATTATAAATATGGATTGACATGATCAATTAAAAGGCCTGGATATTGAAAAAAAAAAATCTCAATGATTAATTATTTTTGAAATCGGGTTCAACTAACATAAATTTTGGTTTGAATGTAAATTGGAGGGACTTGCTGGGCTTTATGCTTCATGTTGGGCTTGTCTGTGTGAACAACCATATTGCAGTTTAAATAAATATTTATAGTGTAGTTTTGACCCACTATAACAGGTCTGACAAAAGTAACTTTTAGCCCTAACAAATTAAAAATAATAAACTCACCTTCTTAAAGTTAAACTACAAAATGGTAAGACACAAATGTTACTTTTTTTCAAAATTGAACCAATATATTTTTCTCAAACTATGAATCACTAACGCATAAGCTTGTCCATTTTGCTCGATCTTTTAATTCTTGTCTCACTTACATAAAAGGAGTTTAACAATAAAAAAAAAAAAAAAAAAAAAAAAAGAAAAATAAAGAATTTGTAAGGTACAATTTAATAAATGTAATACGCATAATAGTAAAAATTTTTGGAAAAAAAAAAAACTAAATTAAATTGTTTGTAAGTAAATGAGAGAGAAAATAATCACATCAATTTATTAAAACTGGAAATATAAAGAGGGCAATAAATTTATTATGGACTTGTTTAATTTTTTCAAAAACAATAAACTAGGAAATTTTGCCATTATACAATAAATTTATTGGTGGGATTAAAAAATTGAAAATTTTCTCATCATTAATTCAATAAATATTATGGCAACCCGACATTTAAAACATTAAGTTAAAAAGAGAGAAAAGAAATATTAATGAATTTAAAAATGAAGAAAAATAAAAAGTTTGAAGTTATAGGTTATTAATTATTAAAAAAGAAAATAAAATTGAAGTAGTTTTATATTTTGGAATCAAAATTGTAATGAAATTACGGAAGAATTTTGGGTTAATAATTATTGAAAAACTGAGACTGAATATTTCTTATAAATATTTAGGAGAAAGAATAAAGAGTTTCTATGATTTGTATTCTGTCATTCTTTTATATGACACAGAAATAAATTTAGATTCTACAAAAGTTTAATTAATATATAAGATTAATATGTCAATGTTAAAAAAGGCCTATAAATCAAAAAACCAAAATTAATATTTATGAGTGCTAACAAATTGTCTGAAGGGCAAAAAGAAAATGAAGACGGAAACAATAAAATTAAACTTTGTCGATATTCTGCATTAGAACACCCCAATTCCTCTTCCAAGCCACATTTTTCAGGGCCTTGAGATTCACCAAATGGTAATGCAACTTTTCTGTTGTATTATGCACTCCTGGTAATTTTTAATTTTCCACATGCTCAGGTAATCTCAAAGTAATACTTATCTTCTTCATCTTCCTCTAGTAACGATTATCGGAGTGTCCTGTAGAAGTGTGACCCTTGAAAATCTCTCAATCTGTTCATCGACCTTGGTTTTCATGAGTTGTTAACATGAAGCATTTCCTTGTCTACTTTCCCTCACCACCATTATCAGGATTCAGATTCTTCTAATTTTCGATACTTATGCATGCTCTAACCAATCCCACTACCCCAGTTTTGATTTCTTGTATCAATGTATTCCATTATTATGATCTTTTTCCAAACAGTTCTCTAGGCAAATAAAGATCGCTAAGACAAACTGGACATGTTTTCACATGAGATTCGAAGGCCAAAGATCCGATACATTTCTTGGTGAAAAACGTGATAGCAAACTGTTTAAAAGACGAAGCAAATCATCAAAACTCAAACTCAGCCAGAGCAAATAGCACATTCAAGGCCATATTTTTCGCGGCGGAAATCTTTGCACTTGAATACAATAAATGATGGAAAGAGTTGTATTAATGAGGGCATCAAGGCCAATTATTTGCCAGGTGAACTACCTGGAATTTACTTGTATTTCCAGAAGGGCTACGCGGCAGAATCGGCCAATTTATTAATTAAGCTCTCCATAAAACATCTCAGAAGTATATAGAAAAAAATCCTTAGGAGAAGAAAACAAGAAGAAATTAACGTTTTTTTAGAACTATAAAGTTATTGGCAGGAGAAGTTAAGATTTGTAGTTTGTTCTGCAGACAGAGGAGGATTTTGAACGACATTGAATGAAAAGAAAATAGCCAAAATGGGTGGCCGGAGATTGAATTTCTTCGCAGCCCTAGAATTTTGCATGGATGAGAAGATTTCAATTAATCAAGAAAAAAACAAACAATGGAAGAAAACTGGTATGTAGTTTTTTAATTTTCTTTTTTTCATTTCTTGAGTAGTTTAATAGTATGAAGGAAGAGAAGAGAATGAACAAGAGATCGACTTTTTGAATGTGTCATATGAAAAGTTTGGGTTTAATTTTGGTTTATTGTCTCATGCGTGGTAAGACTATTGCTATTGAGCGAGTCCTTGTGAGACAGGTTGAAGGGGCTTTGTCTTAATATTAGCAGCTTTGGCCTCCGCATATTCTTTCTATTTTTGGAATTGGTTTTAGTTTCATTTTTTGGCTTTATACTATACTTTTACAATGTGTTATATATGTTTTTTTTTTTTTTCACTCAAAATCACAATTGAACTCACTGCTTTACTCAAAATTTCAAGCAAGATCACTACTCCTTTTCCTAATCACATTCTTTCCTCGGTTTTCTTATCTGGTGATAGGAGCGACAATGAGACGCGATTTTGTTGAATATTCCGTTTCGCCTTCCAATTTTTAAAAAGAGATGATCATTAATTAAATAGGGTCTGCAACTGAATATCGATACTTAAAATTTAATATCGGTCTATGAGTTTAGATTCGATTACTGAGTTTAAGGGCCCGTGGATATATATTTCCGACCCGTAATACATATATATATATACTATTTATATATATATATATAATATATATATATATAATATATATATATATATATATATATAATATATATATATCTTTTGAGAGGTGACTTCATTAGATTAATTATAATATTTGTCTTTTATCATGGCTTTAACATTCTGCAACATAATCTGAGACTGGATTGTAACATATATCAACTGAAACTTTCTTCTTTTATTGACTATGGGGAAAAGTGTGTGTTGTGGATAGAGAATTCAGAATCTAAATTATGTTATAGCTTCTTTAGTTGTTTCAAATTAATTACGCAGAATTATAAAGCAGAAAAATGTTTTTTCCTTCAAAAATCAAGATACTAAAACCCATCTCATTGATTCTCGTACTTAGATTTTTTTTTTTTTTTTTTTGAACATCTTTTTAAATCAATGAATTCATTTGAAGACTGAAATAGAAATCTGGGCTAAACGAACCATGCCTTGGCTTTCATTACCAAGGCTACAACTTAATTGCGTTGTTTAACAACTTCTACGTAAGTCATTTTTTTTTTTTTTTTTTTCCTGAACATCTTTTAAATCAATGAATTCATTTGAAGACTGAAATATAAATCTGGCTAACGAACCATGCCTTGGCTTTCATTACCAAGGCACGAACTTAATTGGTGTAACAACTTCTACGTAAGTCATCATTACGATAAATTCATCCGGAATGCATAAAATCTGCTATGAGAATCATATACGTCTATACTTACAATTAATAATAATAATAATCTAAAATTCTTTTAATACAAGTAGGCATCTGCATATTTTATTTATACTTAAAAATAAAGAATTTTTGTTTCTGAAGTCTAGTTTCTCCAATTGAAATAGTGTCATCAATAGTGACACTTGGGCTGTCACTTGTTGTTTAGTAACTTTAGTTTAGCTCCAAGGTGTTGGGTTTGGTCAAAGGAGTTAAAAAATTTGCATTTTTTTGGTATAAATGGGGCTGCTGGGACAGATTTGAGAGAGTGGGGAAAAAAAAGAAAAACCTTTTGGTATTTCTCTAAGAAAATTGAAAACCAGCTCTCCTCTCTTGAATAGGTATTTTTCCAACAAATAGCTAAAAATTGGTTTTTCAGGAATAGGTATGCACTTGACAACCCGACCAATTGACCAAGAGAGAGCTGCCACTCCAATGCATTCAACCTCTTGACCCCAATTCAAGCTCTTCTGTATCTGCAAACTTCCTCGGAAAGTCCACACTTGAAGGACAATGGCTATGCCAATGATCGCCAAGAATGCTTGTTCTTATATATCCCTTTAAAGTCATTCTCCTCCATCATTTTGCATTAAATTCATTTAAACACCTGGTACAGGACAAACATATCGAGGTATCATTTACCTTCTTAATCACACCAAAGATTTCTTCTCCCTTGAATTTAGTGTCAAGAGGATATTATCTAGTAAATAAAGCTTGAACTAACCGGTTCTTTCACATAATGTTGGTGATTAGTGGCTCAATTCTACCGACAGGTGATTTATCGATGAGCTCTTTGATAGGTTGTTATGTTGCTAGGGCCAGAGCACTAAGTGTTTCCGTTATCAAATTCACCCTCAAAAGCTGGACTGCTGTCAATGGGACTTTACCCTCTGAAACAGTTGCCAAAAAATTGATCACAAGTGCAGTAACATCGATAGCAAGCTGGAGCTGAATAAATTTCTGTATGTTGTTGTAGAAACATCTTCCCCATCTCAAAATGACAATACCTGAGCTTTCCATGACGATCTCAGTTCTTCGAAACCCATAGAGAGTCCAATATCTGCTTCTTTTTGTTAATGTAAGTTGTGACGCTTAACTGCTGTCACTTTTATTTTCTTGTTTTTGCTATTTTTTTATTTTGATTTTTTGCGGTAAAAATACTCTTTGAATGTTATAGCGAAGGAGCTTATTTTAAGCTTTAGACATGGAGACAAACTTCCTGATTTCAGGGAGTTGGTGTTGATTGGTTTACTCTTGAAACTCTTTTTAATTTCTATATATATGTAATGAAAGAATACAATAGAAGATTTTCACCTTATTTTCTCTCTTCTAATTCAGCTTTTTAGCTAGAAAAAAGCCAACAGGAGAGAATTATCATGTTTGGTCAGTCAAGATGAAGGCTTACCTCAAAGGTTTGCTGCTATGCGAAGCTGTAGAAATTGATTTATAGCCTATTTTGCCTGAGATTCCAACTTCGAATCATATCAGGGTTTATGAAGAGAAAGTCTCTAGGAAATATAGAGCCTTAAACAGCATACATTCGGCTAAACTTTCACTAGAATAATGGCTTGTGAGATTACTAAGGAGGCTGGGACAAACTAAAAATTAAATTTCAGGGAAATAAAAGGTTAGGCAATTGCTGTCAACCTTTGAATCAAGTCAATTCCATCCCATATGGGATTGGCAAGACCCGCACAGTTTTATCCTACAGATAACATAAAAAACTTCACAGGCAGTCACCCATCTAAGGATTCCGTTAAGCGAGCACGCTTAACACCGGAGTTTTTCCAACTCTTTAAGCCATTCCACCAAAAGGCACCGATGATTAATTTCCCTTTTTCGATATATGATCCGATTCATTAATGTGTCCCGTATTCCACTACCCATAGCTAGCCCGCTATCCTAAAAGCTAACCGGGAGCTTTGTTTTACCCGCTCTCTTAGGATCGCTTTGCCGAGTCGGGATGTCACAATTGCAACTTTTCAACTTGAGAAGAGAGTTTAAGTTCCTCAGATGAAAATACTTAGTCAAAGATTATTTAGACAGCGAAATGAAGGTAGCTAACCAGATCAAGAGATTATATAGACAGCGAAATGAAGGTAGCTAACCTGATCAGGTTGTTGGTTGAAGAATTACAAGAAAAAAGGATTATGGAGAAAGTTATGGTGAGACTACCAATAAGGTTTTGAGTCTAAAATTTCTTCAAATTGAAGATATATGGATGTATCTCAGCTTTCTCTTTCAGAACTTGCAAATTCTTTACAATCAGTTGAGCAAAGTAAAATCTTCAGACAAGAAGGGATTGACCAAGGTCTTTTGCTATTGTTACTGAAAAATGTATTTTTGTCAAAAATTCAGATTCTTGGCTCATAGATAGTGGTTTCACTCACCACATGACATCTAACCTAAAGTATATTTAAAGGGTGGGACAGAAGCTACTGTTGAAAGTTATGGCATTCTTGCTGTCACATTATGAAAATATTTTGTTTATTAGTATTGTATTATGTTTGCAGCTTTTTAGTTTTAGAAGTATGACTTAGGTAGTTAAAGTATGAGATAATTTATGAAGTATGGGTAAAAGTATGGGCAAGTATGGGATTGGCAGCAAACTACACCTGTGGTACTTTAATCTTTTTGTATTTAATTGTGAAACTTGATCAATGAATTATGCCCTGTGAAAACTTTTATTTCATCATGTTTGTCATAATTCTCCTCTTTGAAGCCTAAAATCTGCAGAATTTGTTCTTTTCTTTCCTGCAGAATTTGTTTTGTAAAAGTTATGCAGACAATATTATTTTCGCCTTCACTTCTTTGCCCCAGACTCCAACAGCTATAGATCTAAAAGTCAAGATTGGAGATGGCAGGTTTGTTGATGTCAAAGGAAAATGTGCTGGATATGTTTATTATTCGTAACTTATTAAGTGTTGGACAATTGTTTGATAAAGATTATTCCTTGCATTTTCATAAAAAGAAATGTGATACTTGATCCAACTGGTGTGAAGTTCTTTTCAATCAAAATGAGAAACAGGTACTTTCCGCTCGAGTGGAAGCAATCCAAAATTCAAGCATTTACCAGCATTGAAGATGAGACTTGTTTATGGCAGAAAAGATTTCAAAGTTAAAAAAAAAAAATGGTGCTGGATATGCCTTCTGTGTCTGAGCACTCTGATGTGTCAAATTGGAAAGCGAACAAGAATACCCTTTTTCCTAACAAACTTGGAGAGTTGTTGAAAAACTTCAATTAGTCTACACTAATGATTGTGGACCTATGAGCACTCCTTTTTAAAGGTAGCAAATATTTTCTTCTATTTATCGATAACCACAGTAGATTCTGTTGGGTTTATTCTTTGAAGAAAAAATCAGAAGTTTTTTAAATGTTTTTGAAGTTGTTTAAAAACAAAGTGCCGACTTGATTAAGATCCTTAGATCAGACAATGGCACAAATTTAAAAAAGTTTGTGGCCAAAAGTCATTAGATTACAAGCTTTTGAGGATGAGGATGAATAGCTATCAATAGAGGTTTAACTTGAGGTAAATTGATATTGAGTTGAGAATTAGTATTTAGCAATATTTCATGAATACCCATGAGTCAATTTGCATCTTATTGAGTTATACGTAATTTTCTATGGTAGAGAAGGGAGAAGCTTCTAAAAGAGAGAAGGTGAAAGCGAAAGAGGTTATAAAATGATTGGAGCTTTGTGATTGTAGAAAGTAAAGCTTTAAGGAGGTATTCAAATTCCTCTTTTCCTTGTACATAGTCATTCATACAATGAGAATTCACCTTATTTACTTTAATAAATCAATTAAACAAGGAAGACAAATTGTGAGAATATTGAAATTCAACCTGATACAGTAAGAATTCACATTATTTAGTTCTATCAGTTGTTGCTTTCAATGATTCAAGAACAAATGCCCCAACCAAAGAACCCTAAGAATACTGAAATTTTTTGTATCTTATTTACTCCTCTAATAGAAAGACTAAAAGATCATTGACATTATATAAATCTATAAACAAATAAAATTATCAAAGAAGGGAGATAAAAAGGTTTGACAAGACTTAATAGCAAAAGCCCCAATAAAGAACCCTAAAAATCCAAACTCAAATTTTTTATATCTCATTTACTTCTTCTCTTCCAATGGAAAGACCAAGGGGATATAGACTGATCTATAAGTAAATAAATATAAACAAAATTATTACAGAAGGGAGATAGAAAAGATATGAGAATAAGTATTAATTTCTAGAGTTATCTTATTTTCTTATTAAATATTGCACGTTATTGCATGTTATCCTCTAATAGGAAGACCAAAAGAAGACAGATATTATAATTTATAAATCCATAAATAAATAATAAAATTATCAGACAAGGGAGAGAAAAGTGTAAGAATAGTTCTTGGAACTACTTTATTTTGTCGGTAAATATTTCACATTATTGCGATGCAAGTACTTCGTAAAAATTTGACAAAAAAAAAATAAAAGAAAGAGGGACATGATACTGAATGGAGAGAGGTCCACAGAGATTGGGAAGCCTTTTATGTGGCATAGCTTTATATACAAACTTCGATAACGGGCATCTTTGACTGTTTGATGAACCATAATGGAATATAATGCAACATAATCAAACACTTAAAATGAATAAATGGAGAACCTCAAATATAGTACAAATGCATTTATATTTAGTTTTATGTTTGTCTTTTGCAACTGAATTATGCGAAAGAAGCTTTCTAAAGGTGTAACTACAGGTAATGGGGACCATAACTTTCAGAGACTGCAAAAGTACAATAATTTTCTTTCTCCCGGCTCTATATCCCCATTTGTCAAATTTTGGTAACACTTTAACAAAAATATAGTGTAACATAATATAAACAAATGCAATTTTAATCTAATATTTGCATTAAAATTATATTTGATCACATTAGTTGCATCATATAACATAACGAAGATAACGTAAAAATTCACGAACAAAGCTTCATACCCCACTACTAGTATACCTTACCTTCAAGTCATGCTAACAGTACTCAGTTTGCGCAGCATAATACAGCCAGCCATGTTTCTAAGATGGTTACTTCCTGCATAAGAATTGCTTACCGAGTTATTTTCCAAAACTTGATTCCATTTGAACAGACTATAATTTTCCTCTTGATTGGATAAAGTGCCCAATAGAATTATGCCCTTCCTTTCTATCAAAATACATAAAAATTAATTCTTCAAAATCATTTCCATTTCATAATAAAATACCTACACACATTGTGCAGGTTAATTGCTAATTTATAATGAAAATCAAGGTTCTTACCTTTTTCGTGGTGCATCTCAGCCGACCAAGGGAACAGCCAAAATCTTAAACAACAAAGAGTGACAAAATATTGCGAGATATAGGCAAGCTTTTCTGTTTTCAAATAACAGAAATTTATGGGCAAAATGACTCAAAAAGAACAAAAAGACACACCTAGCGACATACCTCAGGGAGTCGAATGCATGACAGAATGCTGGCAGGTTCAGCTGCTTATCTCCACTTCCTAATTAAAACATGAACAAATTTTTGCACACACACAGAAAGAAATGTTTTGGTAAATTTAAAAAAGTGGTACAACTACAAAGATAAAAGTTTCTCTTCAGATGAGTCATCCCGGTTACTACAATTGATACAAAGATGAAGATTACAGATGTAATACACACTTCAAATTTCCAAACTACAAGTCTACAACTACACATGTAAAAGATGATAGGACTGAGACTCCATCCAAAGTCTCTTATAAGTTGAAGCTGTACAGCCAAAAGCTGAAGCTCCATGATCTATTTATGTCCAAAGAAAATGCTACTTTCTCCATTTAAACTTTCTTCCTTGAACCATTGAACATTTTAATTCTGATCAGGTTCCTTGAATAAAGGAAACCAATTTCCTGTTCTATTCAATATCATCAATCCAATCACCATATATCCTACTGATTTTGTCTGGGCCTTTCCATTTTTGATGAGTTCTTTGTCCAGACCTTTGAATCAAAATGGATGGCCTTTGTGATGTAACTCCATGATGATACACATCCAAATGAGAAACTGAAGTCACTGATGCAACCACAGTATCTGCTGGAGTTTTTGAAGGCACTCCTCCCTGCTTTGGCTCAGAAGGGACAGAAGAAGAATCTTTAGCTTCTGACTCTACAAGCCCCCCACCATAACGGTGCAACTCTGCAGCCAATAAAATTAAAACGTGAAAACACAATCATATCTCATTTTAATAGATAAATAGCAAGTCAGTTCCATTATCACATTATATCCATTAAAATTTGACATTCTTGCTCTCCCATCTGCCTTTTCCCTCCTTCCCAGCAGCAATGCATAACTTTGCTTCACAAAAAATATCAACTAGTTTTTGGGTGCTATAGGCATGTGTTTCTTTCAATGCCAAAAGATCAGAGCTATGGCACATCACAAGACCAATTTTCTAAACTAAGAATGTGGAGCTTGAGCGGTCAGGCTTCTACTTTTTGTCGCAAGACAACGTACAAAAATTGAGTTGCTTCAAATCAGGGATAGAAACCTAATGTTTCTTGAATTTAGTTCCCAATTTGTAAGCTGCTGCTGTCAACACAGCTTGGGTAGAACAAAAGGTGGTTTAAAAATGATGTCATGCCTTATCATTCACCTCACTAAAGGAATTCCCAGTACTGTGAACTAAACATCACCTAAATAAAAATTTCAGGGGCCTTTACATCTTCTCGAATCTAAGTTGCATGATTGGAGGAAAGATTGTATATCTCAAGAGGCTCTAGCTAACTGAGGCACAAATTACTTATCAGTGGTTTTCTACATGCAGAGCAAGTCAAACAAATGGTTTTCAGAGGATTATTTTGTTCATGCACATAATATTCTGCACACAATATCCATCAAGAGAGAGATAGCAATCAATTTCTCAACTGGCCACTGATTAGGTTGTGTAATTGACCTGTAATATAACTTGTTTTTGGGGAGTGCATGAATAAAAATGAAGGATGCATAAAGTAATTGGGAAGTAAAATTCTAGAATGCAACTTCCATTCATCTTACTTACACGTCAAAAGAGAAAAGGAAAAAGTAAAATGACAGATTATGGTTTAGAAATGAGGGATTTCATTACAGCTCCTGTCTTGGATAAGTAATGAATGTGAAAATTGAATTGAGAGCCCAAATTCAGGTAGTCTGCAAATTGTTTTTGTAAATTTCAATAATTTGATGCACCAAAGCATATATATTCAGAGCAACCTTATTGGCAGGGCATTTAGGTTACTTTAATGTACAGTGCTAGAGTTTTCTTCTCCTCCCCCCCCCCCCCAATAATTTGATGCACCAAAGGATATATATTCAGAAGCAACCTTATTGGCAGGGGCATTTTAGGGTTACTTTAATGTACATGCTTAGAGTTTTCTTCTCCTCCCCCTCCGCCCCCCCCCCCCCCCCTTCTCTTTTCCCCCCCCCCCCCCCTTCTCTTTTTCTCTCTCTTCCTTCCTTTCAGAACTTCTCTTGCCTTTCTCTAAAAATTTACATGCATTCCACAAAGACAAGTATTTCTAAGTTCTAATCTTAACTTCTTATTGTAAAGCGTACAAACCCCACAAGCAGTTTGGGCAGAAATAGTCACATGCAGACACACACCACATACAAAGAGATTTTGCAAGTAAAGGGTCATAGCCAATTCAAGGTAGAAGAAGTAGCAAGTTCACATGTACAAGCTCAAAATCAGCCATCAAAAAATTAATCCTCGCTGTAACTCAAGATGGAGCACCAAATTCAATTGTATCCCAAGTTCATGAGTTCAAATGCAGGTTGAATTTCCCACCTTCAGGCGTGCCATGCTTCATTTGTAGCCATATAATACACAACCATGCAGTGCAGTCTCATATGTACCCTCAGAAAAAAAATAACTCTATGCAACAAAAATGTACACATACCTCCAGAAACAAATACTTTTAATTGTTAGTTTTTAGGCCTACTAAGCAAAAATATCTTAAGCTTTGCATGTTGTTGCAATTGCACTTTTCTTTTAATTGCACCCCAAAATGAAATTTAGAATTACTTGCATCCCATGATTGAAATTGAGGGAAAAAATTCTCTCTCTCTCTCTCTCTCTCTCTCTCTCTATCTATCTATCTCTATCTCTCTAAAATGTAACTCATTGATTATAACAATAATCATAATCTGTCTCTCCATCTTCATCTTCTATTAATTTTTTATAGCTATGAATCATTAATGTGCTTGCTGCATGCACCACCAATATATGATTAATGTGCTTGCTGCATGCACCACCAATATATGATAGACAACATAGATGGATTATTCTTCCTATAAAATCTTGATATTAAGAAAACTTTGCTGCTTATGATAACTTTTGTGCAGCCTATTTTCTCTGATGATTCTGATGATGAGGTTGAAGCCTTTACTGTCAATAATCCACTAGGTAGCAATAGTAGCAGATATGCAGAACCTAGCCCATCTGTGATAAGAGATCTTGTAAACTTGATTTTGAAAAGCAAGCTCACTCCTAGTCACTGCTGAAAATCAAGCAGCAGTTCATCAGCAGATGAAAGGAGCAGGAAATGCTCCAAGCAACATAGGTACACTAGTAGTGACTCGTAGTGATTCATCCAGTGGTGATCAAAGTTGGTACCATTCTAAGTCGAAAGAAAGAAAGAGTCCTCTTCTGAAACGAGAAGCAGCAACAGCAGAAAACATTTAAAACATGATAAGTATAATAGCAGGAACTCCCCAATTTTTATTAGTATATGACTTTACAATGGGGAGAGGAGAGAGGGAGAGAGAGAAGATTAGAAAGAAAAATCAAAGTGATTATTTTATTCTAAAAAATTATTATTATTCCCCAAATTTCAACCATGAGGTGTAATTAATTTCTAAGTTCCATTATATATATTTATATATATATATATATATTATATAATATAAAATTATAAATATATATATATATATAATGCATGTAATGTAGTATGTATATATGTATTACACCATATGCATGTATGTATGTATGTATATATGTATACACTGGAATTGCAACAAGCAGCAAAGTTTAGGATATTTTTGCTTATTAGACCTTACGTTTATTTACCCAAAGACAAAAGAAATATTTTATCTATATAGTAGCTAAATTAGTATTTAAATAAAAATAAACTTCATTCGTAAAAGGGTGTTGGTGTAAGGGGCTCCAAGCATGCACAAAACTGGCCTTGAAAAGCAACAGATAGAGCTAAGAAAATCTAGAAACTCTTGCGCATCCGGATGATGCATTGATGACTAAACCACATAATGCAGAGTTTTAGAAAGCATAGATGACTAAACCACAAATATGAAGAGTATTATTGACATCTTACAATGAAAGCTTTGTCAATTTTGCTCACCCATAGCAACCAAAAATGGTTGAAGGGGGTGAGAGAAATGACCTTTTTTTCATCTTTAGCCTGTAACTTAATTTTTAATCAAACTCATTCATCTCAAGAATATCTGAAAGCTTAGTACAATAAGAGTGAAAAATAATTGGTTTTGTAAAGACTTGCCAGCATGCTTTCATAGTGACATCAATACATGGGTTGACCCTTCAAGGAAATTTTGCTTTCACATCATTGATGCATTCTCTTACAGGAGCCTCAATAACAAAATTAACAATCCAAACTCATCCTCTGTAGAGCAATTCATTCCCTCACAATTCAAAAAATTAGGAGGAGGACTATAATCCTTATCATTTTGCATTTCATTAAAACATGTCCTTCCTGTCTTTCCCCAGAACCTCAGTTTAAAGAAGTCAAATGAAAGCATGAAAGCATCTTTATAACATGCAACTGGAGTCATGACCACAAATGTTCACATCAACTCCACACCGAAAAAGGAAAAGAATGAATTATACACACTAAAAATTAAAATTGCAAGTTACATTCCTAGATTGAAATGCACAAATGAAAAATAAATTATGCCCTTCGATTTAAAAAATTTTAATGCTTATATAGGAACCACTAGGTTTTCTACTAATCCACTAATTATTTGAGAAATCACATTTTGTACCAATAGGCACCTTTCAGAATGTATCTTTTGAAATCATAAAATCTTAAAGCCAGTTATCTAAGCTGTCCCTTTCAATAGTTCTTTGGACTACCTTCCACTCTATCAAAATCCTAAGAGTTTAGTTGAAGACTTTTGCATTAATCCTTACCTTGTTAAGCAATGGCAAGCTAAATTACTTGCAAGTAAAAGTGCCCACAACAAACGCCTTTTTCAAATCAAGAAGTTGTTTAGATATGAGTTTATTTAACAGTATTGGGATTTGCAATCATCCTACACCATTAAATACAAAAACTAAAGTTCGTCTATGGGTAGTTCAAGCTAGCTGATATCCTGAATGACATTCATATCCATTACAAGCAAAATTGTCTCATACAAATATAATCATGATTTCATGCAATGAGCAAATTCTTCTACTTCGACCCAGTTGGATTAATGGAAAATATTGTCCCAGGAAAAAATTTTCTCAGTTATGGTGTTTCAGGCACTCGCTGGAATTGATATAATTCTGGAAAACCACAATTTTCCATCTTTTTTTTATAATTTTCTCTCACTTTTCAACTGTAAATAGAAAAATATAAAGTTCTCATAGGTCAAATTCTATTGGAAATAAAAATAATATTTCCAATTTACTCCAACTTGTAATGTTCATTTTTTAATCACATTCGATACTGCAACCAAACAACAGAAATTAATTACTTTTTCTGAAAATAATTTCTCTCAAGAAGTTACTTTCACTAAAACAAACATAGCCTTAATTTATTTATGTAACTTTTGACAAAAAGGTTATTCTGTAGTATCGAAACAACTTCTTAAACTGCAGCACATGCAAACAAATTCCCCTTCCTAAATCATAAGATCCACAGCTTCTCAAGCTCACTCAATACAAGAACCATAGAATGAAAACTATACCAGCAAATTAAACCCAGTCCATGCAAAAGCGCAGAGTACAAAAACCTAGAAAATCCCTAATCAACAATTAAAAGTTGATACGACATACCTGCAGATCCGTGGGCAAAATGGCATTTATTCCCAAATGGGCAATACCCAGTGAGTTCCCACTTGTTACAAATCCTTGTTTTCCAATTTGATGGCTTTATATTCCCTGCACCAGCTCCATTTCCCCCTCCAGCTCCACCAGCAGCAGCACTTCCTCCTCCTCCTCCTCCTCCTCCTCCTCCGCCTCCCTGCCTCCTCCTCCTCCTCCGCCTCCTCCTCCTACCTCTCCTCCTCGCCATATATCCCCTGGCCCCAACTTATAGCTACGCTCTCCCTATTCTTGACTGTCACATCGGTAAAAACGTACAATTATCTCCATAGAGGGCATACCCTCCTCTGTAATAAAACTTCCTTGCAATGTTCTTTCATTTATAGACCTTTGTGTCTCCCCTCCGAATCCCTTAATAGATGGATTCTCCTCCTCCTCCTCCTCCGCCTCCTCCTCCTCCTCCTCCTCCTCCGCCATATCCTCCTGGCCCCAAACTTATTGCTACGCTCTCCCTATTCTTTGACTGTTCATCGTGTAAAAACGTACAATTATCTCCATAGGGGCATCCCTCCTCTGTATAAAACTTCTTGCAATGTCTTCCTTTATAAGACCTTTGTGTCTCCCCTCCGAATCCCCCTATAGATGGAATTTGGAACTCCTCTCTTATCTCTATTGCAGTTCCCTTCTCTTCCTCGTGAGCAGCCACAATTTCCTGCCAGTTTGGAGGTGGTCGTCGAAGCTCCTCTATGCTATGTGCAAAGTTGCAGTTCGTGATATAAGGGCAAGTACCAGCCCGAAACTTGCAGCATAATTTAGTCTTGAAAAACATTTTCCCTATTGATTTCTTGGAAGTCAGCTCTTGGGAGTTGTTCTTGGATTTCTTATTTGGTGGTTCACTGCCAGAGCGTGATTGGGATGACTGAAAGTTGGGATTAGAGGAAGTGTTGTCATTAGGACCATCGGAAGAGTTGTTCCAAGCATGATAATCATCTTCTGTTGCCCAAACAGAACTGGAATCTAATGAGTTTGGTAGCCAATTCTCAGGTCCACTCCCAGGAATTACATGGACAACATTTCCACTGGAAAAATCTCTACCATAATCCATTTTATAACTTAAAGAGTATTAAAAGTTATGGAATTTGAAGATAAGAGCCCAACTATTAATCAAATAATAGCAGTAGTACAGAATATACAGCTCCCATTAACTCAAATTGATAGGACTTGCAACTTACTAAGATATGAAAAAAGAAGATAACTTTGAACTCATCAAGAATTCAATCACCCGAAGCATTACAAAGACTATCTGAGATTCGCTAACAGAACGAAACCCTAACTGAAATTGAAGAAAGAATTGCAACACCTAAATTACCTGATTTAGTTGAGAATTGAAGTGAACCAGTTATATCTCTAAAAAGGCTAACACGTGTAGGATAAATTTCCTTTTCAAGGAACTGATTCAACAACAAGAACAACAGCAAATACGAAGTAATATCAAACCTCAAAAAGAGGTAGATAAATAGAAAGTGGATATTGTTTAGATCTGCAACCTTGAAATGTAGAACAACATTTATGTAGCAAAGCGAGAAACAAAAGGAAAAACGGAGATTATGGAATAGATTTCGTTAAGACAAGACAAAGCGCGAGGTTGTGAGAAATAGAATAGAATAAAAGGATTGTCCGCAAGCACCGTTTTGTCGTCGGAAATGAACAGAACAGCAAAGACCGAGGAGAAAACTTACCTGTGTGCATTTATTTATTTTACTAAATCGTTTAAGATTACTATTTAATTAACAATTACTTTTCGAATTAATTTAAGAAAGAAACAAGCAAGTACCATGCGCAGATTAATTATCATAAGTTCTATATTTTTAAATATAATTTTAAATTATAATAAATTCTATATTTACAAACATAATTTTTAAAGTTATATCGTAATAATATAATATTTGATTGCATAATACAAATTTAAATAAATTCTTATATGAATATTGTATTTGGAGAAAGTTTTGTTCAAAAGATTGAATTTTTTGGAAAAAATATTTTTAATGTTACCGATTCATATTTGTTAATTCCATCCATGATAATTGTAACTTGTAAAAAGTATTGTGAATATTATCACTTTAGATTATCAATTTTATATATCAACATCAACTACAATATAAGGTGTGTGGCTTAATTTAGATAATTTTTGAAGTCAAATATCTTTTTTTTCTACAATTTTTATACATGATAATTTCTATATATGTAATTGATAATATTAAATATGTATTTGGAATATCCTGAAAATGTTTCATTATATTAATATTTAAATATTAATATTATTAATATAATTATCTTTAATTAACTATATAATCTTTCAAATAAATCTAGAGAATCTCCTAAATTATCATAAATCTTTAACGGTTTGCAAATAAAGATAGTGAAAAAAATCTCTCCCCTAACTTATCTCAACCCAATTCAGACCCTCTGCACCTATAAAAATAGGATTAGGAAAGAAAAAAGAAGGACCAATCATATGAGACTCATTTACTCTATTTTCTTCCTCTCTAATTCTATTGATTCTACATTCTAAAAAATTACTAGAAATTGCAAAAGTATTTTTTGAGATTATCAAGTGGAACACTGTGTGTGGAATGCACCTTACGATTCTTTCTTTTTGAAGCAATTCATTCATCCCTCAATATGATGAATGGTTCTTTCAGGATCACCGACGTTGAAGATGGCGATGACAACTCAAGGGGAGCTAAAGAACAAAACTTAACTCCACCCCTCAAAACAACCAATTCTCAAGTGGCTACCGCTTTGACTCAAACTTATGCACTGTTCACTACTGTACTAGAGCAACTCCTGGTTGTCCCTTCTCAAAATAATAGGAAGCAACTCCTAGACAACAACAATGGAAGTTGTGCTCATGTCGAGCCCAAACTCTCCCACCCAGACAATGCTCCTAAAAAGCAAGACAATGAAGTATTAGAGACACCCCAAGGAGCTGAACCTGAAGCCCATCATAATACATTCACCTCGAATATTCATAAGTCGAACCATGTTCAGCCTATGATGAATAATCCTGATCTTTGAAATATTGTTTAGGAGATTTTCAAGGATTGTAAGGAGATCACAGAGGCTAGCAGTTATGGACTTAGGGACGACTCGTCGTTATCACCCAATATCTTAGGAGCAGGATTCCCAACTAAATTAAGATGCCCACTTTCCACCTTATGATGGGTCCACTAACCCTCATAGTCACTTGGCGACTTTTAGAACAGTGATGTACCTATAGTCAAACTCGAATGAGCTTATGCGCAAATTCTTTCCTATAACACTCATGTAGACACTCAATTTTTTCCTCCTAAAATGGCTCACTAATAATAACCTTTTTTTTAACATAAAACTGAATCCTGATCGCTCTGGTTTTTGAACCGATTGTCTGAGGCTGAATTAATGGATGTATTTGACTATTTTTACTTTTTCGAGTTTCCGGGCATTTCGTTGTAAAACTGGGCCCGAGAAGTGCTTCGGGTCAACCCAGCATGCTTTTCGGTGCATTGTCTCACTTTGCATGCCACCAGTCTGATTTGGTAAAAATGGACCTGCCTGGATTTTGGGGTCCACTAATGGCATTTGCCACCTAGGCCTTAAAATTAGGGCAACATTCCTTATTTGCCGATAAATAGGCATTGGGATTTATGCCAAAGGAGGAATTTTTGCTTAGCTAAGGGAAACTCTTACTTTTTTAAAAACTCAAACCTTTAGATCAAGAAAACTAGTATTTCCTCTTGAATCCAAGGTGCTTATTTATTGATTAAAAGGAAAACTCCCTTATTGCTAATCAAGAAAACCCACAAACACATTCATTTAATCTCAATCTCGAATCTTTGGTTTAAGAATGAAGCTTTTGGGGTGTCCTTTGGTTTGTTTCCTAGAGTCTTTGAATTTTTTCAAGGAAATGTAACACCTGATAGCCATAAAACCCTTTCTTCATCTTTTTCTCTTTATTTTGGTGCAACAAACACCCCGAGGATATCAATTTTTTTCCATAAAAGGAAAATCATTGTGGAACGGGCTTAATTGATTTTATTTAATAAAATGGTTTTCTAATCCTCAGAAATGGCGATCCTTTTGAAAAAGGGATTTGTAAAAAGACCTCTTGCAATGGTAAGAGTTTTAGTTTTACGAAGGAAAAATTCTCGAATTTATCGATTCTTTGGAATTGACTAACTCGATTTTAAACCAGAGATAGAGTTTGGGAGTTAGGTAAGATTTTGAGAAGGTGTTAGGCACCCATATCGCTCGGTTAAACTGGCCTCCTCGTTGTCCATTAATTAACAATGATTTAATAAAAATATTAACTAGAATTGAGATGTAAAACATTTTTTAATGCAATTTTCGGAAATCATGTCAATCATGCAAATTGGTGAAGCACATAAAACATAAAATAAGGCATCCACAAGAAAGGGAGAGAGGAGAAAAGAATACAACCAATCTCCTAGCATACAATCTACCCTTGACCCTCTCAAAATTTCTCAAATCCCAATTAATATTACAAACAAGCAATTATTAGGAATCCATTTAGGACCCTTTACAATTAGCCAATACAAAATAAAACAAAAGCAATAAAGAATCATCCATAAAACATAAATACAACATGACATTCATAGAAACAAAATCCCATATACAGATCATAAAACATTCATTCATTCAACTAATGATTAAAATGATGCATGTTTATGTTCCAAGGTTAATGTATAATGGGTTAGTGCAACAATAATCATAAAACAATGAATAACGGGAATAAATTTAAAGGACAGAATATTAAAGTGCTTAAAAGTAAATGACATTAAATTAAAGTAACAAATTTAAAGATTAAAAGAAGATTAGAGTTCAAGATCTTGATGTTCATCGTGAATGATGAACAAATGCATCCATCACTACTCAAAACCTTGTTTATTGATGTTTATTAAATCCATTTATGGGCAAAAATGCATCACAGATCAATAAAGTCTGGAGCTTTGCCACTGAATATCCGAATCGGGTCACTTTTATTATTATTTATCAATCTGGACCTCTGAAATGAAGTGTTTGGCGCCACATAGGTGTGGTGTGTGCCACACGTAATGGCGCCAGGCCTTTCCCTAATTAGGAAGGTCACAGATTAAAACAAAGCTTAAAGGGGTGAGTCTATGGGGAAGTGGTGCGAGCCACTAGCTTGTGGCGCACGCCAAACGTAGTGGCTTGCGCCACTTTGGTTCTCAGTGCGCCACTTCAACGCAGACTCCCTCTTTTGGTTGATCCCTCATTCCCTCACAACTAGGCATGAGAATGGTGATTTAACACCGAAATAAAATGAAAAAGAGGTGGAGAAAAGGATTAAAGGCCCTCAAAAACTATCTTTTTGAAGATTTCCCAAAGTTTATGTAAGAGTAGATAAAGAAACCCAAAAGTTGAGTTTTTGATCCAAGAAGCCAAGATTGAGATTAAGTAAATGTGTTTTTGGATTTTGAATGAATCCTTAAGGTTTTTATCCTTAGAAATGGATGAATCACAACCTCAACCAAAGAGAAAACACAAGTTTAGCTTTGATTTTTGGTTGAGTTTTAAAAATGGTAGAGTTTCCTTAAGTTTTTTAAAAAATCCTCACTCAACGCAATTCCCAATGCCCTATTTATAGGCAAATGGGGATCTGTTGCCCTATTTTAGAGCTTATGTGGCAAAAATGCCACTGATGGGCCCCAAAATAGGGCCGGGCCACATTTTTACAAAATCGGATTGGGTGGCACATAAAACGAACGATGCATTGGGCAAGCCCGATGCTCTTCTCGAGCACGTCTGGCTCGGTTTCGTTGCGAAACATCTGGTGACTCGAAAAAGTAAAAATAGTTAAACACGTGTATTATCTTAGCCACGGACCATTGATCCGAAAATCGGGACGATTGAAAATCCCAATCCAAACTTATGTTAAAAATCGTTTATCATCACTAGGCCATTAGGGGCAAAATTTCAGCATTTACAGTTTGCCCCCACTTTGATGATATTTTGCTTTTTGAGCAAGATGCCATCAAGGTGTAAAGTAGACACGTAAGTAAGAAATACTTACTTGGTAGCTGTTGAGTTGCCTTGTCCAGTTGAGACAAGGTGGGTGTCCTTCGAACAATATTTGCGTTCTTTGAATGACTTGGATGGATGAAGCACGCCATTTTGGTGGCTTTGATAATATGAGGTGCCATTTTGGCGGTTTGAACTGAAATGCTTCTCCTTGGGAGGTTTGTCGCTGAGGACATGGAATTGGGAAGAATTGCGCCATGATGATTGTTAGGGCTTCAATGGATGTGTGCCTTCTTTGAAGGGCTTAGGTGCGCCACCTGGGACGATTTGGTTTTGAAATGCTCCACTATGGGAGGTTGTCATTGACGACATGAAATGCAAATGGGCTATGCCATGGTGATTGTCGATGGCTTCAACGGAAGTGTGCCTTCTTTAAAGGGCTTAGAGTGCCTCAAGGGGCTTAGGGTGCCTCAGGGGACTCAGGGTTTGAAATGCTCCACTTTGGGAGGTACATGTAAAAGCAATTTTTACTGATAGGAAAATTGGCCTTTAACCGATCGTTAGAGTTAGAAATTCTGTGATTAGACTCGGAAAAGCATGCCCGTGTGAAGCGTGATTTTGCATAAAACTATTTCTACATAAAAATGCATGAGTTTGTGTGAATTTGTGTGATTTTGTGTGAAGTTCTG